GATTATACAACACATAGTGAGGATCGATGTTTTTGCAGTAGTAACGATCTGGTAGACTAAATTGCTAACGATTGTCCAACGTCGAGAGTTTTTGTTTCTGTTTTTTTTTTAAATAATGGAGAATATTTGTTAGTATGGGACGTTTTACATTTTCATCGTTATTTCGTGGATATGAATTGAATTTCTTTCATCAATAATTAAAATTGAATTTGCAGAAAATTTGGTAATGAATTTTTCGTTTGAAACATTTCATGGATCATAAGATTGTGATCGGATTTTGTCAATAAAAATCAATGATTCTTGTTTTTGAAAAAATATCGATGACCACAGTATTTATTAATGGATAGAAAAATCTGTTTCGCTTTTAGTCTTGCCTCTTTTAATATTATCATCTCCGTGATTTGCTTATTTCTTATTTATTGAAAACAGCAGGAGTGGTTTGGAATTAAAAAAAAAATAGAAAAAGCAAAAAGGTTTTCTTTTCATGGTCTTGTCCATTTCTTTTTGTTCCGGGCGTCTGAAAGAACGCGATAAAGTCTTGCCCTGTATCGATTGATTTCAGCTTGCAACGAGCGTGAAAAGTGACTGGTGACATTGGTGACCCGTGGTTTCATCTTAAGATAATTGTAAGAATTCTTTAGCATGCAATTCAGGTCATGGTCGGTGACGTGTTGTCCAAGGAAGTGAAAAAGACGTTTCATCTCTTCCACGGGTTTCGCTTTAAGTTTCTCATAATGAATAACAAATAATGCTCCTTGGAAATGCTGTAGCCATTCTAAATTAAGACGAAACCAGGCAAGAGGCTGCTTCCTCACGTATCGCTGCCAACCTGAAATAATAAAAAAAGAAAAAACAAACAATAAAGTGGATATAACACTATAAATAAATAGTTAAAAACAGAAATTTAATAAGTGTAGGGCACTCATCAAAAAACAAATGGTCAAAAATCAAATGCAATTAATTTTTTACGGTTTACCAACCTATTTTGAGTTATTTAAAACCAAAACATTTTGAATTTACACTATTTACGTCGTTTGGACTGTTGTCCTCATCTCTATTGCTATTTTCACGACGTTTCGGCCGTTGCACGCTCCGGTCTTCAACAGATGATATACGTTGGAATTTCGAACCGAAACTTTTATTTAGTCCACTGAGGTATATCATCTGAAGAATGCTGGAGTGTACAACGGCCGAAGAGTCGGGAAAATGAAAATAAAGATGAGGAGTGTCCGAATAGTGTAAATAGTGTAAATAGTTACAATACTTCATATCAGAAATATACATACTTATTTTGGATTGTAAATAAATAATTATTTTCGTGAATATTAGATTAAGGATTTTTCGTGACTAACAATGATTTATCCAGATACAAGTCATACTATTTAATCCATAGATGGAGGGGGAGATGGATTCTTACCTTTCCCAAGACTATTTGTGTGAAAGTGAATGTAACGAATTACACTGAAATTCGAACTCGACTCTCCAATTTCTCATTCCAAGACAAAATCCATTACACCAGCCGCACAAACAGTGGTTTGCAAGAAACCTGATATTTGATATATGAATATCACCATTATAAGCTTTTCAATATCGATCACTGAGCAATCAAATATCTTTAAATATTATATATATATATATATATATATATATATATATATATAGGAAGAGGTTATAGTAGTTCCAACGAGAGAAAAGTGTGTATATTAAAAAAGAGAGAGAAACCGCAAACGTTTTTGGTTGTAATGTGGATTTTTTTTTTAAATATTATGCTTTATTTTCCATAATTTTGCTACAAGGGTTTCCGGTCTCGTAACCGTCATCAGGCAAAGGGTGGAGATTTCCACATATTATTTAAAATAATTAATTTTTTCTTATGTTTTTCGATGTTAAATATTCTCGATATGAGCCATTCTCTTTTTTTAGTGTGTTAGTGACCCAAATCTCGTTCTTGAAATCAGTGAAAAGTTATACGTGAAGGATTATAAAATGATTAAGATTGGTTCGAGAAATAGTGAAGGAGTCATCGGCATTCTTATCTTTTAATGACCCCTGTTTTTTCTTAAATCTATTTCCATTTCCTTGTGTTTTTGTCAGCATGCGTGTATATATGTATATTCCCTCTCGATGTATACGCACTGTCTTATTACGAGCAATTAGTAAACACATTTGTACACACACACACACACACACACACATATATATATATATATATATATATATACATTTATATATCAAACAAATCCTTTTACTTCATATGGGGAATAGTCTATTTCGGCAGACGACGAAAGTGGTAATCTTTCTTTTCAAACCCGGTGTGAAATGAAATTCACTTCTGTAAGATTAGAGGAAATAGAAGGTCGTAGGAGTTAACTGTGAGGAATTGATATTGAAAGCTAAAGGGTCAACGTAATCCTTAATTTGCCGCAAACACCGAATACAGAGTTTACTCGGTTTCAGTCGAGGCAGAGGTTAAGGTGTAAGATAGATCTCTATCTTAAAGGGGAGAGGCTTTATTTAAAAAGGCCCAGAATATTAACCTTATGACGACAAATGGAGGTATTTGAAGAAAACAAAAGTTTTTAATTTAAATTTATAGATAAAGAGACGTAGGGGATTAATGGAAGGAGGATTAGTTTTATAAATTCTAATCAAAATATAGTATAAAAGATTTTAGAGGTTGAGGGGTTGCATTATATTGCTCTGTAGAAATCAAATACATCGAACTCTTTTTTGTGATTCAGTTCTAATATTGTTATATTACTAGAATCCACTTGGATTATATAACAATAGATTTTTTACCTTAATTTCTCTCTCTCTCTCTCTCTATATATATATATATATATATATATATATATATATATCAAATATTTATTTTACATTGTTGTCCTCATTTTTTATTTTAATATTCACGACGTTTAGACCATTGTACGCTCCGGCGTTCATCAGGTAAAATTGTTGGAATTTCGAACCGAAGCCATTATTTAGTCCACGCGGGTTCGGTTCGAAATTCCAACAAATATCACCTGAAGAAGGCCGGAGCGTACAACGACCGAAAAGTCATGAATATAGCAATAAAGATGAGAACAACAGTCCGAATAGTGTCCATAGTTACAATTCCTCATCTCACAAATGTAGACAGATATTTGATTGGTCTGTGATCGTTACTTATCTATGAATCACCAGACGCAGAATAAAGCAAACAGAATGTCTCTAAAAAATATCTCGAGTTTATTTATTTGTGGAAAAGATCCTTTATTTAAAATATTAAACGATAAAGGTCACAATAACAAGTGAATGGTGATCCGGGTACTAGATGAAAAATGTCTCTGTCGCTTTCTGCATATCCTGTGTGGTTTCGTTTGCTCAATTGGATTTTGATGCTACCATTGGTCCGTTCTTCTGGGTCACATGACCCAGCTACATGGCCAGTAGCTCACTGACCTTTACTTCTCCTTTACAAATAAGACTTAAAATTCTTGCAATTATGTTGCGTCTTCTTTCAAGCGCGAACGGTCTGTTTGCCTTGACATTCAACGAAGTTCAAACTCTGGCTACAAACGCTGATATTAACACGCAAATCTCTAAGCCAAATCCTTAGGAGCTGAAGTTAATTTTCTGGATTAAACACATTACATTCCAATGTGATATTCTTAAAATATCAAAAAACTCGTGATAATTTAACGTCCCAGCCCTGCATAATTATCTACCTCATGGAAGACGGTTAGGTAAAATTTGTTGAACTTGGTTGGCAGTCTGTCTAGGAGAAAGACAGCTCGAACTTCGAAACTAAGGTAGATAGGTCACCTAGATGAGGGCGAATGAGCTGCATCTCGGTAACCAGCTTCCGAGTAATGGTCAGGAGAGGATTCGAGACCCACTGGCGTCACTTGTTTTTGCAGATTAGATTCATGGATTTAGGATGTGCGGGTGGTGTAATGGATAGCGGCTGAGAATGAGAAATCGAAGAACCGGGTTCGAATTCTAATGGCATTTAATACATTCACTTACGCGCTAATCCATCTCTTATCCCTTCAGTTATGGGTTAAATAGCAATGCACACTAAACTCTCAAGCTGTGTTTGACAACCAGTCTTAGAGAAGGAAAATTCAAAACCATAAAAATTATCTGTGATTTCCGACCCTTGAAAATAAGGATGTGAAGAAAAACTCATTAAATAATTCTCTCTAGTCTTTCTCATCAAATGTCTCAACCGATATGAAACGTTTCACGTTTCCAGCATTTGCTGTTTACGGATGGTAGATATAATGCTAACAGGCAAAAAGATTACAGACCTCTTTTTAATTTCGCTAAGAGCTTTTCACCAATTATCGGTGTGGTCATGACACGTCGATAATATTCAATGAGGATAGAGTCATAAGGGTTTCGAAGAAGAATCACTGCCTTTTCCCATGATGCAATGTGTTCTCGCCGATAGTCACGCGTCCTCACGACCAACATGGACGAATTGTTGATTCCTTCACCAGGGAAACTGGACTTTAAATGCGAATCTACCTGCATGCTTCCCGTCATCAAACCTGAAATTTGAAAGAACTATTTTAATTAAAGTTACTCTTAAAAGTGATATCATAGCAATATTTAGATGTACTTTTGCTGAAAGATTTCGCATCGACAATTTTTCAAAATCTTAATTTGCGTAGAGAAAAATGGATGCACGGAACAAGTGGAATGTTTCTTCACAGGTAATATATTCGTGAATATCTTGAATAGTAAACCTTATTGTATAATTTTACAAGATAATGCTAATCAAGGTACAAACGTTATTTTAATTACTTTCCGACCAAAACCCTTAACAAAGCCCAACCTAGTCTTAAACGAAGGAAGAAGGTTTCTTTATATTTTGCTTCTTTTTTAAATCTTTGCCAATGATTCGCATCAAATGATTGTTGCTGTTTGGCAAGTTCCGGAGGACATTTTCAAAACATTCTTTCATTATAGCTCCCAGAGCCAGTTTGAATTTCCTTGCCAATATCCAACGTGACTTTTCACACGTAAACCATCTTTTTACGAATAACTCTCTCCTGAAAGTAGATCCATCCATCCTTTGAAAAGGTCAGGATGTTGAAAAAAGGTCATTTTTCGAGCTGCACTTGGCAATATCGTTAGTTGCCATCTGTTAGTCATTATACACATTCTTAAGACGAAATATTGTTGCAAATAAAGCCGGTTTTAGGATGATTCACCATTTAATGATTTCGTTTTTATTACTGAAATATAAAGAAATAAATTAAAAGTGTAAATAATTGATTTTTATTCTATTTGCGATTTAATATATATATATATATATATATATATATAAGTTCTTTACTTTTTTTTTTATTTTCAAAAAACAGTGTTCTTTACAGAAGTAGAGCCTAGATTATAATTAAAGGTCGATCATTCTGAACGCTTATTTTTAAAATAAGAATCTTAAAATTATATATATATATATATATATATATATATAAATATATATATCACATTGCCACTTATAAATTTGTGGATGAAATGGAAGGGTTTAAAGTTCAACAGAGCATTATTTAAAAAGACATTTTTGTGTTACCATACATTCTTTTATAAATTTCTCTCTGACAGTCTGGGCCTAGGCCAGTAAATGTTGTTTAATACTGTTTATCATAAACAGAGCTCTGCCGATTTACTTACGGGTTTAATATTTTGTATCTATAAAAATTGATAAATACCATCTATAAAGAATACCGCTCGGCCCGGTGGCTAGGATCAAGTGTGTATCTGTGCTTTGTGGGCTGCCGATGTATAAACATAAAAATGTCTTTAAAATAATTGTGGGACTTGTCCCATTTCCCGCTCGGCCCGGTGGCTAATGTGTGTATCGTCATTTGTTTACATTTGGATGCGCTTTTGAGCAGATATGAATTTACACGAGATTGCCACATTCAATTCTAATGGAAGATTGAAGTTTAAAATACAGTAAATTCGACTTTGAATAACCGACCGCTCCTTGCTAACCGCCCAATCGGTTAAAGGCACGTCAAGCTAAATGACGGTTTCCGTATAGGATACAGGTTCGAATCCTGTCGGAGGACGAATATATTCTATGAAAATTCCTCGAATATTCAGACCGGTAAATGTTGTTTAATACTGTTTAATATAAACAGAGCATTTACTAAATATTTTTATCTATAAAAAGAATGTATAATCATAAAATATATATATATATATATATATATATATATATATATATATATATATATATATATATATATCATTTCGGTTTCAAATTGAACAGATTTAAACAATTCTTAGTAGAAGCAAAATTAAATGAATAAAAAATAGAGAAGTAGACGCCAAATGTAACATGGCGGTTAGCAAGCTAATCTCACAAATTAATTCGTGTGTCTGCTAGTGAATATGATCGGCTTGGTGCTCGAATTACTTGGTGCCAGAAATTGATGAAGTTATTTTTTCTAGGTTTGTCAGAGATGAGTGTCCAAATAAATGCGAAAAACAAAATTTTCCAAGCAGAAATTTCATCATGATTTTTTTAAAATTAATTATTACATCCCAAGCAAGGCGAAAAAGTCGCTAAGACGCAAATGGTTACTGAATGTGAAAAAGAATGAGAAAACGTTATTATGGTTAGAGGACAATAAAAGAACAGGATTCAAGAAACAAATGCTAACGATTGATATCGGATTTGAATTTTTGAAAATCATAGTTGGCAGGAAATTAAAAAGCCGAAAGAGGGTCCAACAGGTGAGAAGTGCGAAAAAGAAACTATTAGAATAGAATTTACGGTTAATTCTAGCAATTTCAACATTAAAATAGTGAGAGCTTAACTGCCAGTTTAATATTGTGCTTGAATTTGTGAAATCTAGTTACCAAAGAGTAAAGCTCATCACAATTGACTTAATTTCTTCAGCCTCCATCTTTGCTTGTTGTGTTGTACGTAGTTAAGCTTGTTAAACATAACAATGCGTATGATAAGTAAATAGTGTTAATGTCATTTATGCGTGGGAAGGGTAAGGTGTCAGTTTATGTTGTCAATGGCTTCGTTCGCCAACCATAATTCGGTTGAGTGTCATTAATGGAAAGAGACGTGTACAGGCAAGTCGACGTGCGCTAAAATTGCGTGTTTAAATCCACATTTGATTCCATACTTGATGAACAGAGAGCAAATTGACATGTTTACGATTGTCGAGGCAAGTGTCCATCTGGACAAGTCTCCCACCTTCACTATCCACGAGTCGTTCTGTTTCATGGCCAGGCCGTGCGCACATGTAGCGGATGCAGCCGAGTTGCATTTTGTTTTATATAATTAATCATTTCACATCAGGCAAGGCAATAAAGCCACCAAGGCACAGGATTTACTGAAAGAATATGAGAAAAGGGAAAACCGCTACCAAGGAGAAACAGGATAATAAAAGAACAAGAATTAAGAAAACAGAAGATAACGATTGACATTACATTGAAATTTTTAAACATCAAAGATGACTGAGAAACAAGCAGCCGAAAGAGAATTCCATAAGTGGGAAGTGCGAGAGAAGAAACTGTTAGCATAGAACTTACGGTTACATATCGCCATTTCAACTGTAAAATAATGAGACCTAGCAGCCAATCTAGTAATGCGGTTAAATTCATAACTAGTCTAGGTGTCATAAAGGAATGTTTACCAGGACAATTAGCATGAAAGTATTTATACAACATGAACAGATAAGCCACGTTACGTCGGTGACGAAGTAACTGAAGCCGAGATGACAGGTCAGTAATATTCTTGTTTCAAATGGATTACGGCAATTAAATAAAATTCTCGTAATCATTTGTTCTTCGAAATTTAGAAAAATAAATATGCATAAGTATCCACTGTGTCCATCATTTCAATTGCTTATCTGTTGAAGGTTGGTTTAAAAGTGGTTTTCTATTGGATGATCTCCCGTAAGAATCGTCTTCTTAATCGTTGTTGGGAAGACTTGGAATTCTTTAAAGTATTTACTGTTTTGTGAGGAGAGTTTAAAATTTGTTCTCTTCACGCAAAAAGCATATTTCAAATGGCTCGTTTCTGCCTAGACGCAATACTGCTAAACTTTCGTTCTTTATTTAATTGTATGACCAAAAATGGTTCACAGCTGGAAAATGGATCGTGGCTCACATTTCATTTCAGAATAAAGCATCAATAATGAATCATTTTCGAAATCTGAATACAGGTGTGTAAAGCAAACTAAAGTGAATGATTTATTTCAGATGGTTATTGTAGAACCAATTGCTATCAATGAACAAATCGTCTAAGTAAACGAATTCTGTCATTGTAGGTTAATATGACGCCAGTTAATCATCGTGTCCGTGACAAGAAATTTAACAGATCAAACAAAAAAAATATTACGTTCAAGCCTTTCACCATTGACGTCATCAGTGGGTCAGAGTGTGGGAGATGAAATTAATGTCCACGCCCATTTATGCCCGTATACAACCTAGACTGAGTGCTCTGATATGATCACGTCTGTCCAATCTCACACATTGTCCGCCTTTCTCGAGTGTAGGGTCATGCGTCACGATGTGATCAAATCACAACCTGGAGGCTTACAAGACTCACGACTTTGCTACTCTCATGTTTTCTTTGGTTTTCAGCTCCAGGTAAGAAATACGAAGCAGTCATCACGAAGATTCCGTTTCAAGTGTTGTCTGAATTTGTTACTGAGTCCAGGATTCGCACGCGTGCAGCTAGATTGAGAGCATCATTGATTTGAAGAATCTGTAGTTGGTAGGGAAATCGATTTTATTCTTCCACACCCACTTCACTTTAGTCATCTCTGCAGTGAATGAATACATTTTATAAATTTCGGCAACTTTTACTTGGAAGTCGTATAGTAGCTGTAAAAATGACGGAATTATTTACATGTTTTGATATTTATGTCTAGGAACATTCTAGTATCTGTGAGCTCTCCCAAGGGAATGAAAGTTTTGATATTTGAAATAAAGTTTTAGATTTAGTTTATGGCATTTTTTTTTACTTTTTTTGCCATGTGGTTGTAGGTAGCGGAATAAGGATTTACTTTGGTTTTTGAATTTGGAGTCTTATCGTTCGTTTAGGGGTTTATATTGTTAAATAATATGGGAAAGAGAGAAAATTATTATATAGTTTGTACATCTATAATGGGATCAAAACAAATCAAAAGATACAATAGCTTATACAAGCATACACGCACCAGAAAAAAATGACTACCTTAAAGAGATGCCAAGCTCTTCATGCAGACCGATTCGCTTGTTAAATCTTCAGTCTGTGATTTATCGAAGAAGGTCGTATTTCATTTAGTTTCATTGGTCTCGCAGATGAGAAACATTTGAAAGCAGTTTCCTACAATGCTATAACACTCTGTAGTAGACTGCTTAAAAATATCCTCATCTCACAGACCAGGGATACTGAACGGCGTACGGCCTACATTTGCTGCTTCACATTTCTTGGAAATTGTGTCAGGCTAATTTTAACAATTTTTTACTGTTGTTCTTATATTTGTTGCCATATTCACGACGTTCCGGTCGTAGTACGCTTCGGTCTTCTTCAGGTAATTGGAATTTCGAATGGAAAACCTTTATTTCGTCCACCAGGGTAGATTGTTCTAGTTTCATGTGCCATATCTCTTTCGGATTTATCAGTTTCAGTTATCTCCCTTTTAAGTCAACTCCCCAAGTTTTTGTTCACCTCTGCTGTGGCCAGGTATTGAACTTACAACTCTTTGGGTCAAGCCACTGCATTCAACGTTGAATGCGTGCGAAGAGTAAGGTGTCGATTTATGTTGTCGATGGCTTCGTTCGCCAAAACATAATTCGGTTGAGTGTCATCAATGGAAGGAGACGTGTACAGGCAAGTCGACGTGCGCTAAAATTACGAGTTTAAACCGACATTTGATTGCTGAACAGAAGAGCAAATTGGCAAATCAGTGGATTCAACCAATGTTCAATCCAGTGACTTGGCCTAAAGAGTTTTGAGTTCACTACCTGGCTACAGTAGATGTGAACAGAAACATGGAGAGTTAAGTTAAAGGGGGATAACTGATGCTGGGACATCCGGAAGGAGCATGGCACCTGGAACTAGAAAAATCTACCACGGTGATCAAAATAAAGGGTTCACTTCGAAATTCCAATCACCTGAAGAAAATTGGAGCGTACTATGGCCGAAACGTCGCGAATATGGCAACAAAGACGAGAACAACAGTCCGAACAATGTAAATAGTGTAAAAAATTACTATACCTCGTCTCAGAAATATAGAAAAATAATTTTATTAAATATGTATATATTCACACAGAGGCACAAATTATATATTCTTTAGAAATGTTTGCTCTTAAGAAGCGGGTCATTGAGAGAGGGATATTCGTAGAATTAATTTGTATTTTGAGGTGCGATCCGACATTGTTGAATCTCTAAATGTTTCCCTGAACAATATGACATTTATTCCCAATGACTTTTTACCTGACTTCAAATCATTTGAAACTCAAAAAGGGCCACTCACTAATTTGGAAATCCTATTGAATAAAAATATTGATATGGAAGTTAAAACATTTCATTTATAATTTGTAACTGGAACATAATTTGAACGTCTCTAGGAGTTGGCAATTATATTTCAACTTCTACTTAAAAGACATCATCCCCCTTTAACCGCTACTGGCATTTCAACTCGACTTGATACAAATACTTACGTATAAGGTACCACCAAAATTAATCTTTTTTTCCGCAATGAAATCAAAAAATCAACATCCAAGTTTTAAAACATTTGCCAAAAATCAAAGAATTACTCGATTTAAAAATCAGGGAATTATCCGATTTAAACAAAATTTTCAGAACTTATTCATGAGTAAATGAACATTTTATCGAATGTGTTATTTTATTTTGAAAAATTGAGGAATTATTTTTTGTATATATTTAATTCCAGCTTTTCGATATCGCGTGTGTACTTTTTATTTTGGGGAGTGCTTGTTCAATTTTTTTTACAGTTATATAAGAAATCCCTGAAAGTATTATATGAGTGTAGATATACAGAAAAATCGGCTTGCATTTTGCCAAAAACAATTAAATAAAACTCAAAAGATAAGATTCGACTGAAAAGAATCTAAACTTAAATATTATTTAAAAAAAAAAAACTACTTGTAATTTGTCAGTGCAATTTTGAAATTAATCCCCTTGTTTGTCAGAAGAGTTTCTTTTATTAAATATAGACATAATTGGAGATTTTAAAAAAATGTAAAGTTTAATATCATTTTCGAGTGTAAAGCTTTTTTTTTAAAAGACTTTCATTTTACTTTTTCCTTTTAGCAACTGTTAGATTATCTTTAGTATGGATGTACAAAAAGGAAATGATTCTGATATCTCATGTTGACTGAATATTATTCAATATCAGAGAATTAGGATATTAATCTAATTTAATAACTCCCGTTCAGTCAGTAAAAAAATAATTATTCATTCTACTAAGTTTAATAAAAGCGTATAGAATAAAACATTCTTAAACTATTGATTTATATAAGATTAAAGAAAATTCTAATCTTTATTTCTTTAGGCTTTATTTTTACTTTATTCCGCGCTTTTTCGGACAGAGGTAGTCTTTTTACCTTGTCCTTTAACCTCACAGTAGTAAATAAAACGTTATTTTTATTCAGTTTATTTAAAATTTAAGCATTACTTTTAGAAAATCCAGTTAATTAATCCTTAAATTTACTAACAGCCTTCGAAACACATCTCTACGACAAATATTGGATTTTAAAAAGAATTTTACATTTTTTCTTTACATTTTTCGTACACAATGACGGCACAATAAGTCAATGAGTAATGAAAAAAAAAATGTACCGATGTTTTAAAAATGCCTCAAAAGCTTATTTATACACGGATTTTTTTTCATCGTGATTAGCTTTAGACATTTTTTTTAAACAAAACCGAAATTTAAGTTCAAAGAAGACATTTAAAATGTGTTTTTCGTTTTTTTTTCTTTTTCTTTTAGAAAGTCCGTGACGGTACCCAATGTATTGCCATTTGGGTATGATCAGACAATGTTTAGGAACTAATCGATTTCTATTCTCATTCCTAAATCTATGTACAGTTTGGATGAATAAAAGTCCTATTGATTTTTATTAATAGTGTTCATTTCCCTACATTACCATAATTCAAACTGAACGAAAGCATTGGCGTGTAGTTGTAGAGATACAAAACGAAATGTTTTACCTGTCGCTTGTTGTATTAAGTATCGTAACCACGTTGTTCCAGATCCGGGGAAACCGACAAGGGCCGTTCTGGTGAGGGGTTTGTCCGGTAATCTGAGTTCTTTACAACTGCGTGGAAAGAAGGCTAAAGCATAAAAAGGCCCGTGGATGCGTGCCCAGTTGGTTTTGCTATGTGAGAGTTGATAAATCGAGAAGACATTGAAGAATAACACATTGATGAGGATGACGCAAAGTAATATGCGTACGCGGCAGCTTCCAAAAGATTGCATCTTGCATAAACACGCCAATTCCGTGGGAAAAAAAGGCGCCTCCGAAGACATGCAACTGTAAAGAGAAAACAATAATCGGTGTTTGATTTTTCCATGTACACATCGACATATACATGGGATATTAAGTCAATTTCCAGCTTTTTTGTGAGGGACACGCTTTGGCAAAATAGTAATCCTAATATCAAAGTCAAAGATAATACTACTATTCTTTTGTCACTAATATATATATATGTGTGTGTGTGTATGTATAAAATATAAAAGGGTCAAACACTAATATTCCATGGTTATAATTTATTACATTGGAATCGTAATCACGATCCAATTCATCAGACCTACAAATTCATTTCTTTTTGAATTTGTAGGCCTGATGAATTGGATCGTTATTACTATTACCATGGAATATTAATGTTTGACCCTTTTATATTATATTCTTACTCTGTCCTGAACATTGAGTTCTACCTGGATTCTATCCTCTTGAATTTACATATATATATATATATATATATATATATATATATATATATATATATTATATATATAGGTGTCCATAGAGTTCGTGTGCACTTTAAAATTTTATAGCTTTATTTGTATTTCCAAGCAACGATAAACACAACACATAACAAATTCATGCTTTCTTTAATTGAAATACTCTTTGTCAGCTAACATGTTTTTCGGAGTTACACTCTTCATCTAAACAGGGGTAAATGTCGATATTCATTTTTGCATTCGGAAAATTCTTGAATTGATTTGATGGAAGAATTCCTGGTTCATGTCAAAATACCAGAATCGATTTTTATTCTAAAGTGGACAAGTTGGTTTAATAAAGCTGAAATGATATCATCATGCAGACGTTTATGATGTCGACGACGTCATCTACTGATAGGAAATTGCACATTTTCAACATCAAACAAACTGGAGATTATATTTATTTTTGTCTATCCCTGTATGAAAGTATTGACTGAATCTAATAAGTGTTTTAAATATGGCCAACTACGAAGGCTTAACTCTATGAGAACTGCGTTCCTAAACATATTTAACCCTTCTGCCTGAGCTCCTGAGTCAAAATTCACAAATAATTGGTATGTAATGTTTCACGGTAGATATAAAAATAGTTACAAGTGTCTACCCACCGTTTAACCGGTGGCTGGACATTACGTCATTTTTCCCTACCACCGTTCAACCGGTGACTGGGCATTAAGTCATGTTTCTCTACCACCGTTCAACCGGTGGTCAGGGTTCAAAGTTTTAATAATCGCTAAGCATTGACATTCTGTCAGATTTTATTCTGCAGGTCAATATTTTCAGAATTAACTTCGTATTAAGCAACATATGTTGGAAACATTTTCAGTAAAAATGAACAAAAATATCGTGTAAAGTTCCAACTTATGATACTTATCTTTTAATTTAATCAATAACTTGTTTTGTGGAAATTTAAAAAAAATAAATCTCGAAATATATATTTGACCCCATATACGGGAATAAAACATTTTACTTCTTAATATGGACACTTTAGTATTCTACAACCTTCATCAGCATTTTATTCTTTGATTTTTCTTAACTTTTTCGACTTTAATTACAGTTTTTATTTCTTCCGGTAGATTTTCTTACTTGAATCATCCTGAGTATGACGATAAACTACATCCGGCAGCAAGGCCTCTAGTCAGAAGTTTGGAGGTTTTGAAAAGCATAGAATCACATCTTAATTGCTGCTGTTCCCAGGTCCACCCTGACCAGGGGTGGTAGCACCTGTTAGGGTCCCAGCTATGGGCAAATAGTGAACCCCACCCAAACAAAAATCAACAATATATTTCTATAACAAAATGACAATGAATGCAACATTAAAATATAAAAATTTATAGTAAAATTACCAAGAATGCATTTTATGATCTATAAACTATATGTATAAAAAAATATAGTTTTATTCTGAAAGTATAAAATTATGTACAAAATATCTGTAGTTGAAAGCATAAAATGACGTAAAAATATTTAGATTTTGGCATTAAATAACCCATAGAGGTGTTGATATGCCGCCAAACAGAATCAAACAATCATCATGAAAGAACAGTTTCATGAAATTAATCCATATAATATCCTACAATTTCTTAACTCAAACTGTATTCCAAAATATAATTTCAATAAAATACAACATAAAACACACACATATCACCATTTCTAGTAATTATGTCGACACAAAAATGTATATGCACAAAAGCTGAGTAACATCTACCATGTATTCAATTGTGAAAGCAGAATAACATATCATATTTTTATTACTTCAAAGCTCCTAAGAAAATTATATTTCGGTATTAATTAAACCAATGAGCAGTTGATATGTCTTTAAACAAACAATCACTCAATCAATCATATCATTTAAAAGAGCAAAAACTGTAATTTAATATGTGTATGCTTTAGTGTACAAAAAAGTCAAAACACTGTCTACATTTCTGAGAAAACAGCCTGCCTGCCTTATGTGAAAGGGTTATCAGAGAAAATATAAAGGATCTGCGGTCCATATAACATCAGGAGAACCTTCAAAAGCTTGACGACACTT